GCAGTGGTATAATCTCAGCTCACTGCAACCTCCACCTCCCAGGTTCAAGCGATTCTCCTGCTCAGCCTCCCTAGTAGCTGGGATTACAGGCATGCGCCGCCACACCCGGCTAATTTTTGTATTTTTAGTAGATATCGGGTTTCTCCATGTTGGCCAGGCTAGTCTCAAACTCCTGACCTCAAGTGATCAGCCCACCTCAGCCTCCAAGTGCTGGGATTATAGGCGTGAGCCACCTACCTGGCTGCAACCTTGGATTTAAGTATCTATGGGAGGTCCTGGAACCAATCCCCCACAGATAGCAAGGGGTGAGTGGGCTGAACATTGCCTACCTTCTTTTTTACTTAACGTTGTGTTTTCCCGTGTCATGAAAACGTGCCAGAAGTGTGATCTTGATCAGCTGCATTTATGAGATTGCCTTGGTGACCTTTGCCCTCCTTTACCACAGTGGCTGTGACAATGAGAAGCCAGTCCCAGAGAAACTTAGAAAGGACTCAAAACCAGGGAGGAAAGGGGGCGGCCTGGAGGGCTCCCCACCTGCCGGGTCTGCCCCTGTGGGTGTCCACTGGAGCCGTGGCTGAGGTCTGTGGCCCTCACCAACCCTGCGTCTGCCTTCCTTAGGGGAGGAACATCATCGTGTTCTACGGCTCCCAGACGGGCACTGCGGAGGAGTTTGCCAACCGCCTGTCCAAGGACGCCCACCGCTACGGGATGCGAGGCATGGCAGCGGACCCTGAGGAGTACGACTTGGTGAGCTGCCACCGAGCGCTGGCCCCACATGGAGGCAGTGGGCAGGACAGGGGACAGGTCTATGGGCGTCCCTCAGCAGGGGGAGGCCGGGAGGGAGTGGGGTCCCGGGTAGACGTCCTCAGAAGTTGCCTTCCTGTGGGGGTCGTTGCCATCCCTGCAGCTGCAGCCATGTGCCGGCCGTCCTTTCCCCAGGACCAGGCCCCACCGAGCTCCAGCAGCTGACCCGTGGCCACCATATCTCCCAAACCAAAGCTGCCCGCCCCAGCTGCTCCACTCCCCCCCTCCAGGGTCTTGGTGAGGGGCACCACTCCACAGCCACCTCCAGGCCGAATTTGAAGTTGATGAACAGTTTAGTTAGAAATCAATGAGCACCAGCGCCTGAGAGCCCTGGAATGATGCGGTTCCCAGGGTGGCCCGGACGTGCATCATACAGGAGGCTGGGTTCTGATGGCTGTTTGGTGCCGAGGTTCCCTTTCTTCTAGAAACACCCTCTCTTCGCTTCAGCGTAACACAGATGCCCATGCCCCACCCCGTCTGTGTTGTTCCTTCTTTCGGATCCTACAACACCCGGACATCCCTGGCCTGGCGCTGCCCTGGGCAGCATCTGGCCTCCCCCCCGTCTGGCGCGGGTTGAACCTCCAGCAGGCTCAGTCATGGCGGGGTGCGGTCCTGCCCATGTCTCTGCAGGCTGACCTGAGCAGCTTGCCAGAGATTGAAAACTCCCTGGTGGTTTTCTGCATGGCCACCTACGGCGAGGGGGACCCCACGGACAACGCCCAGGACTTCTACGACTGGCTCCAGGAGACGGACATGGATCTCTCTGGGGTCAAGTTTGCGGTGAGTCACCCAAAGACTGCTGTGGGCTCCTTGTGGTCTGCGGCACCTCCCCTGGGCCTCTGGATCCTCAGATCTGAAAGGCAGCCCTCCAGACCCCCACCCCATTCTCAGCAGCCAGGGCAGGCTGCTCATGAGACCGTCTCCTCTGCCCTGGACCCCAGCACTAAGAGAGCATCCCCTCCTGGTCCCCAGCCCCAGTCGGCTTCAGGGGGCATTGGTTGCTGGAGACTAAAGGCAAGAGTGGTCTGGCTGGATAAGCAAGACCCGGCTGGGCTAGGAGAGCTGGAGCCCCGGCCCAGTGGGGGGGGGGTGGGCTGCCCCCGCTGCCCCGTGGGTTGAGGCTGGCTGTGCACAGGGCAGGCTGTGGGCTGCAGGTCACCGGAACGAAGCCTCTTCAGGGTCCAGAGGTGGCCCAGTGTTCCTCGCAGTGCTAGGCGCCCGGTGGGACAGGGGCCGGCAGGTGATCCCAGCAGCTCAGCCAGCACTGTGGGGCCTCGTGCCCTCCCACCCTGCCCCCACAGCACTGCCTGCTGGTCAGGCTGAGGGCCAGGCCTCAGAGTGGCCCCTGTGTCCACACAGGTGTTTGGTCTTGGGAACAAGACCTACGAGCACTTCAATGCCATGGGCAAGTACGTGGACAAGCGGCTGGAGCAGCTCGGCGCCCAGCGCATCTTTGATCTGGGTTTGGGTGACGACGACGGGAAGTGAGTGCCCACCTTGCCGCCACGGGTCAGCGCCGCGGGCTTAGGCAGGGGCTGTGGAATGTGAGGGGGCCGCACACCATTGTGTCAGCTGAGCCTCAGCGACACACACCGCCCACACAGAGGGAAGGGGCTTGCCTGCCTCTGCCCTGCCCCTGCCAGCTTTGCTTTTCGGTTTGCCCAACTCCCTTGAGCCTTCCTAATGCTCTGGGTTTACGTCAGTGGGTGTTCCAGGGAGCGCAGTCCTGAGCTCTGGGGTGGGGTGGGATCGGGGCGTGCCTGGCACGAGGTATTGCTACCACGCTGGCCTCCCCTGAGCCCCTCCTCTTCTCTCTTCTGTCCTCTCCTCGGGCCAGCCTGGAGGAGGACTTCATCACCTGGCGAGAGCAGTTCTGGCCGGCCGTGTGCGAGCACTTTGGGGTGGAAGCTACTGGCGAGGAGTCCAGGTGAGCGAGTGCCCGCAGGTACAGTGGGAGGCCTGGGCGGGTCCTGTGCCGACGGCAGCCACCCCAGAATGGGAGTCGGCCATGGGTCACAGCGAGATTAGAAGACACTTCGTCATAGGGAGCAACCTTGGTCCCAGCCAAGGACTCACTATGCCACCTTGCTCTGCCCTGCCCTGGGGCAGTGGGGCACTTCTCCACAAGGACACGGCATGTCTGTCTTTGTGGCTAGGTTCAATTTTGGCAAAAACGGCTCATTTCCTAAAAATCTGTCTCCATAGACTTGGCCAAAATCATAACGTTCCTTTCTGCGCCCTTGATGGCCCCTGGGTGCTGCCTGGGCTTTCCTGCCTTCTCCCAGAATCTCCTGGAAGCCTGCCCAGGGCCACGCCGCCTCCCTCCTCCCGTCTTACCCGCCTCGCTCCCTCGAGCCCCTCGTTGCGCATCTGCAGCAGGGGCTCCCCTGTCTCTTGTCATATGTCCCTGGGCCCTTGCCCTGAAAGCCACGCACTGTCTCCCCTGCAGTCCAACCCCTCCCCCTTGGGACTGACCCCTGCAGCTTCCCGACCTCACCCTTGGTCTCCCCTTTCCAGCATTCGCCAGTATGAGCTTGTGGTCCACAGTGACATAGACGCGGCCAAGGTGTACATGGGGGAGATGGGCCGGCTGAAGAGCTACGAGAACCAGAAGCCGTGAGTGGAGGGATCGTGTGGGGGCAGATGGCTCTGTGGCCCCCGGTGCACCCCAGGCTCAGTCTGTCATGTATTCTCCCAGGGCCCTTCTTGCCAGACCCCGTGCTGGGAGTGGGTGTGAGTGTCCCTGCACAGGGAGGGCATGAGTCCCAGAGCAGAGAGGGGAGCTGCCCAAGAGCCAAGTAGCTGCTCCATGCCCCGACGCAGTATTCTTCCTGGCCCTGGCCCCGGGAGACTGGTCCTCACCCAGTTTTTACTGAGCTACGTTGCTGCCTTACTCTGCACTGCCCAGGGGCAGCAAGCTGCATCCCACTTCTCAGCAAGGACAGCGCGTTGGGCTCTGTGGCTAGGATCCTCTTTGGCAGAAGGGCTCATTTCCTTAGATTCTATCTCCATAGATAGACTTGGGCAAAAACCTAGCATTCCTCTCTGCGCCCTTGATGGCCCCTGGGTGCTGCCCAGGGAAGTCCTCGTGCCACTGCATCCATACCAGCCGCCCTGCTTTCTGCAGGCCTGCTCCAGCCTGGCTGGGACGAGAAGCTGCGCATTTCAGGGGCTTTCCGGAGTGGAAGTTTCTCTCTTGTCCGTGGTGTAGCCCAGGACATGTGGGGGTGGGGGGACTGTGCTCTGTGCTGTCATCTGGGGACCCAGCCACCTTCTAGCCTGTGGTGCCATCAGTTTGGGCCTCACAGCTCTTTTAGGGGCCAGCCTCAGTTTTCACATCTGTAAATGGAGACACTGATGACGCAGCTCTGGGTCACGTGGTGGAACTATAGAGAGGTGGCTCACGCCTGTAATCCCAGCACTTTGGGAGGCCGAGGCAGGTGGATCACCTGAGGTCAGGAGTTCAAGACCAGCCTGGCCAATGTGGTGAAACCGTCTCTCTACTAAAAATACAAAAATCAGCCGGGTGTGGTGGTGCACGCCTGTAATCCTAGCTACTCTGGAGGCTGAGGCAGGAGAATCACTTGAACCTGGGAGGCATAGGTTGCAGTGAGCCGAGATCACACCACCGCACTCCAACCTGGGTGACAGAGCGAAACTCCATCTCAAAAAAAAAAAAAAAAAAAAAAACGCATTGGTCCTGGCTGGTATTGCCCAGTGAGATTTCCTCGTGGAGATCTCTGAGGTTCCATGTGCTTTGTGCAACCAGAAGGGTCCGTGGGGACAGGGAGACTTGGATCCGAGCCCTGGCCGCCACTGTGCCTCTCTCCTCCCCACCTAGCCCCTTTGATGCCAAGAATCCGTTCCTGGCTGCAGTCACCACCAACCGGAAGCTGAACCAGGGAACCGAGCGCCACCTCATGCACCTGGAGTTGGACATCTCGGACTCCAAAATCAGGTACCAGCCGCTGCCGTCAGCCCCTGAACCCTCCCTCCGGGCCTCCTGACCTGCGGCAGGGCCAGCCTTCCACCCCTCCCAAGCCTTGCATCTCCCTCCAGGTATGAATCTGGGGACCATGTGGCTGTGTACCCTGCCAACGACTCAGCCCTCGTCAACCAGCTGGGTAAGATCCTGGGTGCCGACCTGGACGTCGTCATGTCCCTCAACAACCTGGATGGTGAGTGCCACAGTCACCGTCACTCTGCTGGGCCCAGGCGGCCATGGGATTGGGTGTTCAGGAAGGCCCTGGGTTCAGCTTCTGCTTAGGCCTGAAGCCCCAGTGCCTGGGAGGCCCTCGCCCCTGAGACTCCATGGTTACCGGTTCCCAAGCAAATGGGAGGCAGAGTTGCCATAGGGTCGGGTCGTCACTGTCATAGTCCTTTAAGGGAGTGAGGTGCTGAGGCCTGGAGGCAGAGCCAGCCCCAGCTCCCCCATGGCCACTGTGTCCTGCCGGAGAGGAGGGCCTGGGGCTGCGCCCACTTCCTCAAGGGAGAAGTCAGGAGTCGGCAGCCCTAGCAGCCCTCCCGGGCCCCCAAAGGTGCTCAGTGCCGAGGGGCAGTAGCCATCGTGCGGGGCTGCCTGGGCCTGGGGGTGCTGCCCAGCCTGAGCCTCCTGCTGTGAAGCCCTTGGACCCCACTGGTCACCGACCTGGGCCCAGTCCGCCTCGCCACAGCCCTGCTTGCGGGTCCTCAGCCACTGTGCCAGGGCTGCCCTTACTGTCAGGTTCCACACCCGCCAGTGAGGGAACAGCAGGAAAAGGGGCTGGGCTGGGCCACACCGTGTCGTGTGTGTGGTGGAAGCACAGCAGGTGCATTAGTGTGCAGCCCTGCCCCCAACCTCCCCTAGCAAGGTCCTGCCTCTGATGAGGACTTCCTTCCTGCCTGGCTGGCTGGAGGCCCGAGCCTTGGCTCCAGGGCCAGGGAGGCATCAGAGAGCACAGGCCTTGTTTCCAGCACCAGCGGGGGCACCTGTTCCTGCAGAGCCTGCCCGCGGCATCACCCCCTCCCGCGGCAGCCACCCATCCCCAGGAGGTGCCTGCACACCGCAAGTCCTGCCTGCCTTTTCCCCACAGAGGAGTCCAACAAGAAGCACCCCTTCCCGTGCCCCACGTCCTACCGCACGGCCCTCACCTACTACCTGGACATCACCAACCCACCACGCACCAACGTGCTGTATGAGCTGGCACAATACGCCTCGGAGCCCTCGGAGCAGGAGCTGCTGCGCAAGATGGCCTCCTCCTCTGGCGAGGGCAAGGTGCGCCCCCTCGGCCCCGCATCCTCCGCCTTGCCACCCCGCCGTTCTCCGAGCTCCGTGGGCCCCCATCCAGCCCCTCTCACCCCCATGTCTCCTTCCAGGAGCTGTACCTGAGCTGGGTGGTGGAGGCCCGGAGGCACATCCTGGCCATCCTGCAGGACTGCCCGTCCCTGCGGCCCCCCATCGACCACCTGTGTGAGCTGCTGCCGCGCCTGCAGGCCCGCTACTACTCCATCGCCTCCTCCTCCAAGGTGAGGGCCGGCCCTGCCCTGCCCGTTCCCTGCCCTCCCGCCACACACTGGAGGCCTAGCCCTGCTCACGGCAGGCAGAGCACAAGGATTGGAGGCAGCACAGGAGCTCTGAGCCTCGAGCCCCAGTTCCAGCCCCAGCGCGGTCCCAAATGCTGCCCCAGACTGTGGACTCAGTGGGGCTCACCTGTGAGATTCCCAACATCTGTCCAGCCCTGGTCCCCAGAGCCAACCTGGAAAGCTGCTGGGGCAGGGGCCTCTGAGGTTTGGGCATCAGGTGGGCGGGAAGAGGCCTGGTGGGCAGGAATGGCCGCAGAACGGGCCGTGGTGTGGGGCTGGGCAGGGCCCTCGGCAAGGAGCTCACACGGCCCTCCCCACAGGTCCACCCCAACTCTGTGCACATCTGCGCCGTGGTTGTGGAGTACGAGACCAAGGCCGGCCGCATCAACAAGGGCGTGGCCACCAACTGGCTGCGGGCCAAGGAGCCTGCCGGGGAGAATGGTGGCCGTGCGCTGGTGCCCATGTTCGTGCGCAAGTCCCAGTTCCGCCTGCCCTTCAAGGCCACCACGCCCGTCATCATGGTGGGCCCCGGCACTGGTGTGGCCCCCTTCATGGGCTTCATCCAGGAGCGAGCCTGGCTGCAACAGCAGGGTGAGTGGGGAGCACGCAGGGTGGGGTGGTGACGAGCGGGAGCCCCGTGCTCACCCCGGCCCCTGCCACGCAGGCAAGGAGGTGGGGGAGACGCTGCTGTACTACGGCTGCCGCCGCTCGGATGAGGACTACTTGTACCGCGAGGAGCTGGCGCAGTTCCACAAGGACGGCGTGCTCACCCAGCTCAACGTGGCCTTCTCCCGGGAGCAGCCCCGCAAGGTGAGGCAGGCAGGCACCCATGGCGGTGGGGACGGGGCTGGCAGGGCCCCAGCCACGGTGCCCCACTCATGGCACCACCCTTGGCCCCAGGTCTATGTCCAGCACCTGCTAAAGCAGGACGGAGAGCACCTGTGGAAGCTGATCGAGGGCGGCGCCCACATCTACGTCTGCGGGTGAGTGGGGGGATTGGAGTAGGGGGCGGGAGGATGGTGCCCTCATCTGCATCTGTAGGTGAGTGGGGGGATTGGAGTAGCGGCTGGGGAGGACGGTGCCCTCATCTGCATCTGCGGGTGAGTGGGGGGA